GATTACTCTATCCAGCAAAACTTTCATTTAGAATGGAAGGACAGATGAAGTGCTTCTCAGATAAAATCAAATTCAAGGAGTTCATCATCACCAAGCCATTATTATATGAAATGTTAAAGGGACTTACCTAAGAAAATGAAGATAAAAAAAGATGAACAGTGAAAGGACAGAAAGCTCACAGTTATTAACAACCACACCTAAAACAGAAGCAAACTAAGGGGACAGCTAGGTCAGGAGCAGAACCATAGAAATGAAGATCACATGAAGGGTTAGCAACAGGGGAGTGGGAGGAGGAGAAGGGGGGAGAAGGTACAGAAAATAAGTAGCATAGACAGTAGGTAGAAAATAGATAGGGGGGAGGGCAAGAATAGTAGGGGAAATATAGGATCTAAAGAACTTGAGACACGTGGTCATAAACTAAAGGGGGGGAATGGTGGAAGAGGGGTGTGCTGGGTGGAGGGGAATGAAGGGGGGAAATAGAACAACTGTAATGGCATAATCAATAAAATATATATAAAAAAGAAAAATGTGTCTTTATTAGTACTTAAAATTGCATGAACATTTTGGCCAATGCAATATATGGAAAATTTTGTTATACAGGTTCTTTCTTTAGAGACTAAATTGGTGTCATTCAGTGTGTTACATTAAATTATGTGTGTGTTGTTTTGCCAACTTGAAGTTTTGGTGATTTAAACAGAGACCGTGGGGCGCTGCTACGCTTATGCTTCTCTACCTCTAGCTACATTTTTTAAAAATACATTTTATTGATTATGCCATTACAGTTGTTCTATTTCTCCCCTCATTCCCCCCACCCTGCATACCCCCTTCCCCACCATTCCCCCCTTTAGTTTATGACCACGTGTCTCAAGTTCTTTAGATTCTATATTTCCCCTACTATTCTTGCCCTCACCCTATCTATTTTCTACCTACCATCTACGCTACTTATTTTCTGTACCTTATCCCACCTTCTCCTTCTCCACTCCCCTGTTGCTAACCCTTCATGTGATCTTCATTTCTATGGTTCTGCTCCTGACCTAGCTGTCCCCTTAGTTTGCTTCTGTTTTAGGTGTGGTTGTTAATAACTGTGAGTTTGCTGTCCTTTCACTGTTCATTTTTTTATCTTCTTTTTCTCAGGTAAGTCCCTTTAACATTTCATATAATAATGGCTTGGTGATGATGAACTCCTTGAATTTGATTTTATCTGAGAAGCACTTCATCTGTCCTTCCATTCTAAATGACAGTTTTGCTGGATAGAGTAATCTTGGTTGTAGGTCTTTGGACTTCATGACTTGGAATAATACCTCTTTCCAGCCCCTTCTTGCCTGTAAGGTCTCTTTTGAGAAATCCACTGACAGTCTGATGGGAAGTCTTTTGTAGGTGACTGTCCCCTTATCTCTTGTTGCTTCTAGGATTCTCTCCTTCATTTGAATCTTGGCTAATGTAATGATGATGTGCCTCAGTGTGTTCCTTCTTGGGTCCAACTTCTTTGAAACTCTCTGAGCTTCCTGGATTTCCTGAAAGTCTATTTCCTTTGCCAGATTGGGAAAGTTCTCCTTTATTATTTGTTCAAATAAGTTTTTCACTGGTGGTTGTTCCTTTCCCCCTTCTGGTACCCCTATAATTCGGATGTTGCAGCGTTTAAAGATGTCCTGGAGGTTCCTAAGCCTCTCCTTTTTTTCTGAATTCTTGTTTCTTCATATTTTCCTGTTTGGTCATTTTTTTCTTCCTTCTGGTCCACTCCCTTGATTTGAGTCCCAGTTTCCTTTCCATTACTATTGGTTTCCTGTGCATTTCCCTTCATTTCAGTTTAGCCTTCATATGTTCCTCTAATTTGTGACTAAAATCAACCAGTTCTGTGAGCATCCTGATCACCAGTGTTTTGAACTGTGCATCTGAAAGTTTGGTTATTTCTTCATTGCTTAGAGTTATGGGCTCTGGGGCTTTGAGTTCTTCTTGAGGCATAATGTTTTGATCTGTTTGTGCCTGTTAGGTATGAGGAGCAGAGCCTTAGGTGTTCACCAGGGTGGGGCCACCCAGGTTGTTGGTTTGTGACTCTGTATGTGGGGGCGGGGTCAGAGAGGGACAATGGTGTTCCCCTCTGCTGCTTCCCACCCCTGGGGTTTTCCCGGTCCATCTCACTGCTCGCTCCTTCGCCGATTTATCTACACGCGAATATGTGACCACGGTCAGCCCTCAGTGGGTCCGCCTGCTGCTACTCCACACCTGGGATTTGCCCACGGCTGCATGCACACCTGGGTCACGCGCCTGGGTTGGTCCAGTGGATATTTCTTGCCCAACCCCCACTCTGCTGCTGACTCCGCCCCTCTTACTGGTCTGGCTGAGTGGTTCATTTTTGTCAGACTTCCATATAGTTCAATTTTCTGTGATTTGGCTGCATTTTTGTTGCTAAAACTTTGTTGTTTTTAAACTTGGTTGTGTGAGGAGGCAAAAGGCTTCTACCTAAGCCTCCATCTTGGCAAAAGTCATCCACATTTTTCTTTTTCATCAATAACTTTATTGAACAACGTAGTCACCCTTTTGTTCCACTACCTTCTGCCATCTTTTAGGCAACTTTGTAATATCATCCTCCAAAAACTTTTTATCATTTTAAGCAAAGAACTCTTCCAGGTCTCTTTTGTAGTCTTCCAAGGAGTTGTAATTTTTTCCCATTAAGACAGTTTTGTCAAGACAGAAAGAAATGGAAATCCAAAGGTGCAATGTCTGGTGAATATGGCAGAAGAAATAGAACTTCCCAGCCAAGCTGTAACAGCTTGTGCTGGGTCATTGAAGAAACATGTGGCCTTGTGTTGTCCGTGCGGAAGATTATGTGTTTTCCGTTGACTGATTCCGTGCTACTTTATATTGGTCTAATTGGGAGCAGTCTTGTTGGAATTAACTGACTGATTTTCTGGAAGGAGCTCATAACAGAGGACTCCTTCTGAAACCTACCATATACACATTACCCTCTTTGGATGAAGATTGGCCTTTGGTGTTGTTGCTGGTGGTTCATTTTCTTTGCCCCACGATCTCTTCTATTCCACATTATTGTAAAATATTTACCTTTCATAACCTATTCACAATATGTTTTAAAAACAGAATGTTTTTGTTATGTTTAAGTAGAGAATTGCAAGGGGAAATATGGCCAACAAAGTTTGTTCTGCCTAACTTATGTGAAACCCATTCATCAAGGCAATTAACATGACCAAGCTTGTGCAAATGATTTTCAATGGTTGATTTGGATATTTTGAGTATGTTTGCTATCTCCTACATGGTATAACATGAATTGTTCTCAACCGATATGTCAATTTCATTGCTGTCAACTTCACCTGGTCTACTTAACTATGGAGACCATTGTTCAGCGAGAAATCTCTTTGCAAACCACTTTTGCCACATTCAGTCACAGCACCTCCTGCATACACAGCACAAATCTTTTTTGTATTTTAGTTGTCTTTTTACCTTTCTTGAAAAAGAAAAGCATAATATGCTAAAAATTTTGCTAATTTTTTTCATCTTCAATATTAAAATGGCTACACAGAAATTCACTGATTTGGATGAGTGCTTTTTCTGAATGCATGCTGATATGACAGCTGTAACAATAGAACCAAACTAAATTGTTTCAAATGAAGTTAAAGGCAACTGAGCACTATTAGAGCCATCTTATGGAAGAAAACCCGATGAACCTTTTGGTTGATCTTGTATATAGTGTATCTTCCACAGCTCCCTGTATAGATAGGGTCATGATATTCTAGAGGTAAAAGGCCATCAAGAAAGGTATGTGAAAGTCCAGAATTGCTAAGCTTTTCCTCTTCTGCTGAACCTGTCCACCAAGAAGAGGTAGTAAGAAAGAGAAAGATAAAAGACAAAAATTTATTAAAATATTATGCACAATATATAGAAAAGCAAACTAGTGTGTTGACCAGGTCACCTGAGGCAATATTTCAAAAAACTCCTCTCAAATTGATATCTCTCCCTGCTGTCTGAGAAATCCACACACTCTACACAGTAAACTGAACTGAGCTGATTCCCTTTATGTCACCACCTATTTCATTATCATAACAATGGCCTTCACTCAGGGCCCAAAAATACACATCAGGACACTCAGAGAAATAGACCTGACTATAATAGTTTTGAAGAAGAAAGAGTTTCCACTCAACTTTTGCTCTGTCCCTGTGGCTTTTTACCCTTAATGAAACCATGAAGCTGAAAACACAAGAGAACCACAGCACCTGTGGGTGTGGGCAGTAAGGTGGGGGGAGTGAAGGGACAGTAGACAGGAGTGAAAGCAATGAGTGAAGCAGGACCAGAAAGAGGGTGGGAGGAAGGGTACCGGGTGCCAGAATCAGCCAATAAACACCGTGTACCTTTCCCACTTCAGTCTAGCTGATTCCTCTGAGACGTTTCTACCCACTGCTCCTTGTGAACTGAATGTAATTCAGTTACAGCTCAGACATAAGTACTGATCAGACCCCACATATTCCAGGACTCTTCTCAAGTTCATGGATTTCCACCTTTTGATAGGCATTTTATGACACAGGTATTATTCTGAGATAGATGTAAATAGGAAAATAAGTAAAGATTCAAGTTTTCAGAATAAAAGATCCCGAGAAGTTTTCTTTGATAAGAATGTAATTATTAAAGCAAGTGCAAATTTAACAACATAACAAAGTAAACATGTTTTATAAATTTTAATACAACATAAGGGCAAATTTTGTTGAATATTTAACTATGATAGAATAGAAGAACAAATTGTAATAAATATATACACAAGCAATAAATAAATAACATCAGGGCCATCACCTCTTAAGGAGAGATATCCCAGTACCTAAATTTTGTAAGATTTTCTTGCAGAACACTCTGACAAAAGATGTGCTCCATTAAGGTCAATAAATTCCGTGACTAAAGCAGAAATGAGAGCCTTTTCCCATGACTTAAGTCTTATTATGTGCAAGGGTGATCAGGCACATTCACCAGTGACAATTGGATCAAGGTGACCACAGGTCTCAGTCCATGTTACTTAACTTTTCTTGCAAGGTTATTATTGAAGACAAGGATCTCATAATTTCCACTCGGACATACTCCCAGGCACAGTCACTGTATTTCTTCTTTTTCAAGTAAAGAAACATGCCCCAGAAGTACCTTTTCACAGCCCGTGTAGGTCCCTGGGATGACAGAGCAGTGCCTTGCTCTCCCATCTCCTGCACCAAACAGGGCTTCAGGTCCTCCAGCTGCTGATAGAGCCCCATGCGCAGTTGGTTCAGGAGGGTGGTGTTCCAGGCAGAGGAGGCGTGCTCTGTGAGCAAGAGGTCAGAGATGTGCTGGAGCATCCCCTGGAGGACAGAGATGGCCTGGGCCTCCTGGACCTGGATGCCATTTATGATTCCTCGGGGGAATCTGAAGTCTTCTGTGTCATTCGGGCAGGACAAAGTGGAGATTCTCTTCATTTGCCTCAAAAGCACCAAGCTGTCATTGCTGAGCAGGATGTGGTTCTGAGGTAGGACACAGCCCACAGATCCACTGAGGCCACAGCTGAGCACCACCAGGACTGTGAGCAGAGACAGCAGAAGGGCCATGGGCACAGGAGGGGGCTGCTGGCCTGGCTGAACTGGGTGTCTGGTGAACAACCTTGGACCCTAGTTAGCCCATGAACTTGTTTGTAAGCATGGCCATTAAATACAGAGACACAATAATTTTCATTTTCTAAACATTTCTTTACATTTTTACTTCCTTTTTTGTTTTCATTCATGAGCTCTCCATGTGTTCTAAGATGATGTCATCAATCTGCACTGTTAATTTTGCCATTTTAATTTTCTTGCTGAAGTAGGCGTGTGTCAGTCCAAAAGGATACTTAGTCAAATGAGAAACATCATTATCACAAAGTCAGAAGTGTATGTAGGTGTTAAATACTCACACGTATACACATACTTGTGCACAACTTTTATTGCATACATTTTGCTCTTCACTGTATCAGAAACAAAATTGGGTCTTCAATCTGAACATTTTTGTGATCTTTACATAGGGAATAAAGTGTGTGCTTAGGTTTACTAGGAAACCAGACAAAAAATGGCCCACTGCATTAAGAATACTTTTCCCTGAGCAGATTAAATTAAAAAAAATAAGGTTTGTCTGGTCTATCTAAGGGTGATAGCAAAATAAAAATAATCTAGACCCTGGAATCAAGTATTCTTCTTTTCTTTATAAACAAGTTGATAAGAGATGCTGGCTGTGTTATTAATTTGGCTAGAGCATCATCTTGATGTGCCAAGATGTCGGGTTTGCCCTCTGGTCAAGGCACATAGAAGAAGCAACCAATGAATACAGAAATAAGTGGACAATGGATTGACGTTTCTTTGTCTTTCTCTGTCTCTTCCTCTCCTCTCTCTAATAATCAATCAATCAGTCAATCAATCAAGTACAAGAAGAATTTGACAGGAAAACCCAGGAATTAAGAAAATCTATTTTGACTCTTTTTTATTTTTTAAATATATTTTATCGATTATGCCATCATAGTTGTCCTAATTTTCCTCCTTTGCCCACCTCTGCCCAGTACCCCCATTCCCACCAGCAATCCCTTCTGAGAGTTCAGCTCCATGGATCAGGCATCTAAGTTCTTTGGCTATTCCATTTCTTGTACTGTTTTTAACATCCCCCTGTTGATTTTGTGCCTACCAATTTGTACTTCTTAATCCCTGCACCTTTTCCCCCATTCCTCCTCCCAGGTGATAATCCTCCAAATAATCTCTATAATTATGATTCTGTTCTTGTTCTGCTTGTTTGCTTAGTTTGTTTTTTAGATTCAGTTGTTGATAGTTGTGAATTTGTTGCCATTTTTATGTTCATAGCTTTCATCTTCTTTTTATTATATAGTTCCCTTTAACATTTCCTATAATAATGGCTTGGTGTTAATGAACTCCTTTATCTTTACCTTGTCTGAGAAGCACTTTATCCGTCCTTCAATTCTAAACATTAGATTTACTGGATAGAGTAACTCATGTTTGAGGTCCTTCCTTTTCATCACTTTGAATACTTCTTGCCAGTGCCTTCTAGTCTGCAAAGTATGTTTTGGGAAATCTGCTGACAGCTTTATGGGAACTCTTTTGTACATAACTCTCTGCATTTCTCTTGCTGCTTTTAAATGTCCTCTTTATCTGCAAACTTTGGCATTTTAATTATGATGTGTCTTCGAGTGGGCCTCTTTGTATCCATCTTATTTGGGACTCTCTGTGCTTCATGCACTTGCATGTGTATTTCCTTCACCAGCTTAGGGACTTTTTTCCTTTCAAAAAAGTTTTCAGTTTATCGCTCTTCATTTTCTCCTTCTCTCATCCCTATGATTCGTCTGTTGCTACATTTGGAGATCTTTCAGAGGCTCTGTAATCTATCCTTGTTTGTTTAAAATTATTTTTTCTTTATGCTATAGTGATTGAATGCTTTTTTCTTCCTTATATTCCAAATTATTGATTTGACTTTTGGCTTCATCCCTTCCACTGTTGGTTCCCTATAGAATTTTCTTTATTTCACTTAATGCAACCTTCATTTCTGCTTGGGTCTTTTTTATGTTGTTGTAGTATGCAATGATTTCTCTGATCATCCTGATAACCAGTGTTATCTCTGCATCTGATAGGTTGCTCATCTCATTTCATCTAGTTCTTTTCCTAGAGTTTTGTTCTCTTCTTTCATTTGGGCCATATTTCTTTGTCTTCTCATTTTGGCAGCCTCCCTGTGTTTGTTTCTGTGTACTAGGTAGAGCTGCTTTGACTCCCTGTCTTAATAGTGTGGCCTATTGTAGAAATGGTACCCATAAATTTGTGGGGCAGAGGCTTATGTAATTGCCCAGGTAGGGCAACCCATTTCACTTCTGTGGCTCGATGTGGGGGAGGGCTCAGAGAGAGAACAATGCCGCTGTCCGGCTTCTGGAGATTGCCTGGGAGGAGGCTGTCTTAAGGCTCTGCCCAGTTGCCAGTCAATTCAAAATCTCCCCTTCTCCCTATATGCTATGTGTGCCCTTCCAGCTGTTGCTTAGGTGCTGAATCTCAGAGAGGGCAGGTCCGTGTGAGTCCTAAGTCTGTTGTAGGGTCTTTTAAGAGGAGTCTCTTGAGAATCTGAAAGTTTCTTCCACTGCCCCAAACCCCACTGGTTTTTATAGCCAGACATAATGGAGACTTATCTTTCTAGGGCTGAAACCCTGGGCTGGGTAGGGTGGCCTGGTCTGGGGCTGGGATAACTTGCTCCTGATCTATCCCTTTTAATTTTTATCCACCACACAAGAATTTGGGACCACCCATTCCACCACCTCTCCACACCACCCTGTGTCTCCATGCCTCTCCATGCCTTTCCGCCTCTTTGCTTCTCTCCCCATCTCCATCCCTGATTACCATCTGGATCACTGTGGCTTCTTTAATCCTTGGTCATTGAACTTCCATACAACTGGATTTTCTGATGAATCTGCCTGTTATTTGCTTTGTAGTCTAGTTGTAATTTTTTTCTGTAGTTGTGCATGGAGAAAAAGCATGTCTATCTATGCCTCCATCTTGACCAGAAGTCTGTCTCTGACTCTCTTTTATTAATATGCTATGCCTTTTAGATGGGGCTATCATTCCACTTCTCTTCAATTCTGTATTTATGTGTTTTACCTGTGAGCACAGATATCAGGTCTTCTTTTAAATAAAATGAAAATAATTATACATGACAAATTCTTCTCTGTCATGTATGATTTGAACTTGAATGTCAACTAGTGTGTCATAGGTGCTAAATGAATTATGTCATGTTTCATAGTTCAGGCTGCTATAAAGATGTATCATAGGACAGGAGGCTTATAAACAACAACTTTATTTGTCACAATTCTGGAGTCTGGAAGTCTAAAGATCAGTGTGCCTGAATGATTGAGTTTTGTTGAGAGCCCTTTTCTGGGTTGATGACAGCTGTCTTCTCTTTGTGTCCTCTAATGGTGGAGAGAGAAAGATAGTAGTGGCTCTCATAAAGACATTAATCCCATCACTGGGGCTCCACCTTCTTAAATTCATTTAATCCTAGTTACCTCTAGAAGACTCCACCTCCTAAGATATCACACTGGGGGATAGAGTCTCGACATATGAATTTTTGGTACAAACTAAACTTCAGTCCATAACATGATAAAAAGATTTCAAGGTATTATCATTATGACAAGGTTTCATTAGAATATTTTTCACTGTCCACATTTATTTGAGAATAAAGAACACATCCTGATGCTTTCTTATTTTATGACACATGAATTCTGAACTGATTATTAATTACATGTGACAGTGGTACTGTGCTCATGATTACCAAGCACCTAAGAGGAGGGGATTTACCAGAATACCTGTGGCAATTAAGCTCTTTGGAACCAAGGACTGGATTTTGTTGACTGTTTCATTCATAGCAGAGGCCGATGAGCTTTAGTGAATGAGTCACAGGGATGATTCTCTTCCTTCTGGAACCCATTCAATCAGGGCCATGTTGTTATGTTTCTTCAGTGGGGCCACTAGGTCAGAACTTCTGTAGACCTTGTCATTTCTTTCCAACGCAACGTTTTGTAAGTGATCATTGGTGCTCCTCAGGCTGTGTCAATACCCAAGCAGGAATCCTGGTTCTTTACTGGTGTAGGTAGGTGTGGAGATTCTAATATCAAGATATTTTTATTTTCCAAGCACTAACTCATCCACAAGGGAGATATCTGCTCTAGGAACTGCTTTTCTCTGAAGTGACAGTAATCTCAATCCAAACTCTCCTAGAATCACACTCCCTAAACGTAGGCTGATCACAATCTGATGTCTTTAGAATTCTCCTGCTGGGGAGGAGCTTTGTGTCTTTGTTCACAAAATAATTTTACTCTAGGACCCTTGCCTCTCCCCTGGAGTGTTTGAGTACCCTGGTTCTGAGTGGCAACCTTCTCATTTCCTGACCCATGTTCCCAGTTATCAAAAGTGTCAGCAGCACTGAATGCTGAAAGCAAAAGATTGTTTTATCAAAATAGGTGATGAAATTAATTATTCAATTGGAATCACTTTAATTATAGTAGGCCATTAATTTTTATTTTGCCAGTATAGCTTTTGTTGTTCAACTGTTACATTATTGGACATATTATGCTCAATGATGACTCTCCCAACAGAGGCTTATAATATAGAATTAGTCCTTTAATTATTCATTTAGTCAGCGTGGTTCTAATAGGTTTTTGTTTGATTTTGCTTCTCTTCTTTTGTGTGTGTCTATTTCTATTTCATTCTGAGATAGCAGGGCAGTGAGGCTTAGGCTGTGAAGTCAGAGAGAAGTAGCCTTCTCTCCTTTACTTGTCCCTTACTTGCTTGTGATTTTTTTATTTTAAATTTTGTAATTTTTTTCCGGTAGTGGTTTAGAAGACAAGGTTTGGCCTGCTGCTCCTCTATGATGCTCTGCTTCATCATGAGTTTGATACGAACAAAACAAAAACGCAAGGGCTACATCATTTTTCTCCATAATTTTTAAGACTTCAGATTTCTACTTTCTCATTTCACTATTTCTAGAAAGCAAAACTGGACAGTTGTGCATGGGCAATAGAGGAAAATAGGTCTAAATATCA